CACGTTGAACGTACGCAGAAGATGGGCACGAGAAGCGATCCATCTGGCACAACTGTGTCAAGTTAGAGCGCACAATGCCAAACACAGGAGAGTAACGTACAAAGTGGGAGACTTGGTACTGATCAATCCTCATAAACTCAACCTCCTGGAAGTAAAGGGTACAGGGAGGAAGCTGATGCAGAGACGCATTGGACCATTCGAGGTGACAGAGGTGATAAACGAAAACGCCTACCAATTAAAACTTCCCGACTCCTACCCTATGCATAACGTGGTGAATGTAGTGCACCTGAGGCCTTATCGTTCACCCGGTGACGTCTCAAGACCGTTACTGTCCAACCCCAGGGACGATATGAAAGCCTCGGAAGAGTTTGAGGTAGAAGAGGTGGTGGGGCACAGGAAGCGGAAAGGGAAACTCCTGTACAGAGTGAGATGGAAAGGATATGGGGCGCAAGAAGACACCTGGGCAACCGAAAGAGACCTCCGAAATGCCCCCAGATCCTCGGAAGGTATAGATCGAAGGTGGGCCTGAGCAGACATGAATAAGCGCCCACTTCCTGATCAGGTATTCACATGAAGTCGATTAATGGCACGTGAACAGGATACACTTCGATCACCTCCCATCTCCATCGTTTTCCTCTCGTGATCCCATCAACAAACCTAACTGACAATGTCTCTCGGACTGGCAAGTATGAGCTGCAGGCCCACCCCACGTAACTCTGTTGCGATCACGGACGAACACAGACAGGACTGCCCAGGTCTCGAGGCAGCCGAAGTATCGTCCGAGCCCTTCAAGAGAGCCCCATCCGACCCTATGTGGTTAAACAGGCAGCTGGGACCCCTCGACCCGACCTTCTCGTACGTTGCTTTGCACCACATAAGACCCGGTGCTCGATCTCTGGATCGATTGTGGCTCTTGCTACCTGAATATCACCACCTCAACAAGGCCGAAGTGCTGAGAGAAAATGGGAACCAGAACGTTCCACCTCGATCTCTGACCCCATTGCTGGAACGCTGGGAGTCTTCAAAGGCTGCCATGCTCAAGGCTGAGACCCTCACGAAATTGCGATTGCCTAACGAATTGAGGGAAGTAATATACAAAGTCGAGTCCAAGTCGGGCGGCAAGCACGAGTTGGACAGTCACATCTTTGCCTTCCAGTTCACTCCCTGGCAACACCCCTTCACCACAATATCTCGATATACCTACATACTCCGGATCATTTCCCTCCTTACCGCTTTCCTCAATTACACCCGGATCCATGAACACCTGATGGAAGTAGATGTCCAAGAGGGACGTAAGATATCCTGGTGGAACACCCGAAAGGAATTTTTCTCAAAGAAAGTTTGACTGATGATCGACTGACGGCAAGTTCACCCGAGTTCGCGGTATACCTAGCTTGTCAGCTGCCATGTCATGTAATCAAGAATGGATTGTTCGAAGAACTGGACCTGAGCGGACATGCCGAGGCTGCTCGTAATTATCGACTCCCGTTGGCTCAAGGGACTGAAGTCCCTTGGTTCCTCGACTGGCCCAGATGGGAAGATGCACCCGGACCATTACCTGGTGCTGAAGACAGGGAGGCCTACGAATTCCGACTCCTGTGGCCTGGTCCACCCCCTTCCAACAGGGACCCGTCCACCCTCAAGTTGGTGGAGAAACGTCGTCTAAGCCGGACATTCTACTACCTGGATACCGGACACTTCATGACTCGCACCGAGGCACAAGAGGTGGTCATGGACAACGCTGAGCGACAACTGGCACAGCCAGATTCACCGACTCCTTTCGATGAAGGCTCAGACAAGCTGACATCAGGAACGTTAGGTTTGAACCTAGGAGATGCTTCCATGCCGCCTCCATCTCCCAACTGGCCAGGTGCGGGGAGTTCGGTCTTCCTACCCCCTCCGAATGTGGTGGTGCCGCAACCAAGCGTTCATCCTACCAACACCCCATCCGCCCTTTCCACTGACAACTCTTCCGCCTCATCCTCTCCCTTGGGTTCGTCGAACCATAACCGCTGGAGGAAATTGCCTCGAGAAGAGAGAAGGTCCCAACCATATCCCGGCCGAAGAGAAGGATCAGTCTCGGGTCATTCAGGACAGGCTCGTTGGGAAATGGGGAACGAAACCCGTCAAACTCGGATGGACTCATATCGCCCCGAACCTAGTCAATCTGACTACGACAGAGATGCGGATAGAAGGTGGTCTTCTCGACCTACATCTCGGGAATCGATTGCTCGAAGGGACAGCCGCTCCAACCCGAGAGACTCGAATCCCGATCCTTCCCCTTCTAGTATGGTACCGTATAGCACCAGAGGGCCACAGTCAATTCTGCAGATGCCAACCTTCACGATGCCAGTCAATCCTACGTGGGTGGTGGACAGCAACACCAACACCGCCATGCCCACCTTCGTCATCAACCTGGCAGCTCCTCCAACGACTGTTCGTCCTCCTTCTATGAGCCAGCCCTACCCCCCACCCGTGCAGTACCCGGGATCGGATCTGCACCCATCCTCCTCCTCTGGTGGAGCTCAGTATGATTCCCTCCATCCGGATTCCTGTCACGAGCGTTCAAGAAGCTGGTCGCCCTGGAGAGACGACCCATGGAGATATGCCCCTCAGGGACCACGTCATGGTCGTTAGGAGACTGGGGGGCGATGTTATGGATACAGAGTCTCCAACAACCATATCCGTCGCATAGTCAAAGACTTCTCCTCTCTATTGCTCCCCCTCTTTCTCCCTTTCATCCTCTATCCCGATACCCTACCCTCCTTACTCGTTCTACCCCTTCCCCCCCCCTCATGCAAAGCTTTCCCCATTGGGGTTTTGGTGCTGGCCGAGGTTACTTGTGTTTCGCGGGATTTCCCGCGACCTTACCATTTGTAGATAGTCACGTGTCTTGTATGGAAACCGCTGAAGGCGGTTCCCACTAACTAACAACTGCTCTACAACTGTCTTGTGTGTCATCTTCTGTAACAACCCTCCCTGTGACTCAACTGAACCTGTGTGACTGTACAATTCTCAACATGTCTTATAAGTCTGGTTATATCAAGTCCTCTAACGGCCCTCGCCATGAGAACTCAAGGTCGCAAGTCGAAGACTCTTGACATGTGTATCATCCTATGGAATCTGTACCCTACGGGTCCTCATCACTCCGCTCTCCCCCCAGTGCTCGACATACAACATCACATCATGATCATGGAGATCATGAATACTCTGAGGCCCACTTTCCTGTGATGCTGGCATGTTCGCTATGCGAATGCCAAGTAGCCACCCATCCACCGTGTAAGGGATTAACCTTACTTCACTATAATTCTGATTATAGTGATATTTATATTATGTTGCATCGCTATAATTCCCATTATAGTGATGTGGTTATTTCTTTATTTATTTGTGCCGAGATATGTAATTTACATATATATACCTCAGAGTAGTTGTAAAGGCCCGGTAGCCTTTTACCTCTACCCTGTTGAATATACAGCACATTAAAGCTTATATTTAGACGGACTACCTGAGGCCTGAGGCGAACGGGGGAATGGAACGTACCGTCCCCAAAATAGTAAGCAAACCTTTCACACCATCTGTCCCTCCTTCGTCAGTCATCATGTTTCCCTGCCAACGGTACGTTCCCTTTGGGAACGCCAAGTCACCGAAGGCCCTGTTAGTCAATCCTCATTGCACGCTTATGATATCAACCCGCTACCAGTACGTTCGCACTGCGAATGCCAAGCACCCGATGGCAGCTATATGAAGTTCTCACCCATCTCACAAGTTGTGACCTCACACACGGTACGCCCCATTGAGGAGCGCCAAGTACCCATGGCTGACCCGTCCGTCCTGGCATCTCCGACTACCTACCATCAATCCCTTAATAGCTCACTACATCACCAATCACGATCGATGGGAATTCGATCGTCCACTCCCAGGCAAGACTGGGATCACTCATCGATTACATATCCCGTTATGGTACAGACTAGATACAACCTTCGTCATCCCACTATAAGAACGGATCGAGGAATGGGGATTTTCCCCCATCCCTGTAACACTATCCCATCCCAAGGGATATACTCGATTGAACAGCTGTCCACATGCTAAAATCAGGATGGGCCACCTGTAGAACCATAGAAAAAACTCACCAAAGATGTTGATGCACAGGATCTCAATCCAGCTGCTGCCTTCCAAGCAATCTGGGTAATGCAACAGTGTGCAAGATGGATTGGTCATCTTGGTGTGTAAGTAAAGCTTAGTGAGAGTGTCCAGTTGTTCAATCCATCGGGTATGGAGCCTCATCATCCATGTACTCCATTCATGACCCTTCTTTCACCTGGACAGAAAGAACCTCAAGTCTAACAATAAAAACAGGCTCGAGTGGAGGGCTTATGGCTTTGGAGCTAGCTTCGCCACCAGGCTAAGTAGCTGTTCATAGTCAAGCCCCACATCGTCAAGTAAGTTTAAATCATCCCTCCCTGGCTTGTCCTCCCAATGGTCTAAATCCTCTGGTGCCACCCCATCATCTTGCATCTCCGAAAGGCCCTCAACAACTTCTTGTGGGATATCTGTGTAGGTCATGAGCCAAACATAAGTGAAAAGTAATGCCAAACATGCTTCCCAACAATTGTTGACAAGCTGCACCCATTGTAACCCGAGCCTTTTTGCATGCCAATAGACCATTCCGAGAAAGGGCCAGGGAGTCCATTCCCCAGTTAGTCATGACTACCTTGCACTTGCAACCTTTCACCATCTGTTGCTATGAAGCAAACTTGTGAGACACATTACACAGCTTCAATGACAAACTTTTCATGCTTACTACAAGGTGTGGGTGGGGGGGTAGTTATTGAGTCGAAGCTGGGGGTTATCTACTGAAGAATGAGCATATATGAGGAAGTTGAGGCTAACAATGATAGGCGCCGCTTGATCAGAATATAGAAGTCCAAGGTCACACATACAATTGAGCAGTGACAATACAGTTGTGACAAACCTAATCGAACATCACACCTTGTGCACCCATGTTCTTGCACAACACATTGAAATTGAGTGGCAAGGATAAGAGGGAGAATGGTAAGTGTGTGTCTGATTATCACTGACAGATTGGAAATAACTCACCTGCATTCACAGAGCTAATGTATGTGAAATCAAGGGACACTGCAGAGGACATCTTTAAAGTGTATGTCCAAGCAAGCCATGGAGTATATCAATGGGATGACGAAGAAATGGAAGTTTTTGGTGGAAATGTAAGTGAACCCTTTATTCTCGACTTCTACATAGCTTGGAAGACAAATGGTGAGTAGTCAATCACATTCTGAACACATCTACTTATGACGATGCAGGGAACTTGCCCAAGGGGGAAGAATGGGATGTGGCAACAATCGAAAAAATTGTTCCACAGGAGGTTTTCACTAAGGAGATGGCACACATGGTTAAGGAACACCTCTTGGCTCCATTGCTTGAGGTGCACACTCACATGTGGAAAATTCGTGCCTTGGTGTGCAGTTCTTTGTGTGGTATTAGACTTCAAAACTTACCTTTAGAAAGACATCCATCTTAGATCATCTTGGGTACTACAACTTCGTGTTGATTGATTATGAAGGCCACAAGGCACCAATCGAGATCATCACACCAAAAAGTATCAAGGCCAACAAAGGATGGTCTCAGTTGAGGATGGAGCTCCTGGATGCGTTTCTCAAAATGCCTCAGTCTATCAGTATGCCTGCAATTCAGGTGACAATCCAACCACACACCTCTGCATCTGATCCAGACTGTTCACTTGATGCACTAAAATGTCTAAGCACTCCTGCCATCCAGCAGCCCTACATTACTGTCTGGGGTCAGGTTGCCCACTCTTACCTCTTCCTCCTGGAAGGAAACTCCGATGCCTCCAAGCACTCAAGCCAAAAACCCACATTACCCCTGTAGGAGAAATAACGGTCACCCTATGGAAACTCATTATGGAAATATGTCAGATGAACCACAAAAAACCCCATACATCAAATACATATCAGAAAATAGAAGAACCTGAATTTTTACGAATTTTTATGACTACATACGATAAATCAGAAAAAAGAAAATACTTCAAGCTTAGCACCAACAAGAGGGAATGCTTGGGGAAATTTATAGCAAATATTAAACAAGGAACTAGGACAATCAGGCAAGATTTGACTATAAAACCAATCAGAGAACCTCCATGGAAACTACCTTCCCACGCCCGCACACATAGCCAAGGATGGAAGTACCATGGAACAAGGATTCCTTAGGAACCAATGAAAAATTCAAAGTCGTGTTTATAATAGGAAATGTAGATGTCTCCCAAATGAACCCAATAAAAGTAATTACAGGGAAAACTATTCATAAACGATGAAGATATGACCGAAACTCTTGGAAAATGAGGACAATGTTTAAAAGGCAAGTGCGAAGAACAAGCAGTAATGACCGAGACGAGCTTGATAGCCCATTAGAAAGGAAGGGATCTAATCTTAATCCACCCCAATTTTCATAATAAAATGTTCATGCATCAATGAGATATTCAATAACAGGATGAGCAACATCAAAGTCATGGCTCAGGGAAAAGACGACATTCACAAAGGATCCATATTTAAAACACACAACGAAATTTACACGGAAATTATGATAAATAGGAAACTATAGTTATGCAAAGTTCCAGCCCAAACGGTCTAGCCGTTGTGAAGTTATGCCAACAACGGGAATATAGAAATCTGCATCATGCTTAAAGACACATGAGGGTGGTGATGCAAAAGGAACTGGCCATTGGAACTGAGATCCGCACTCCAGCAGATCGTGAAGACCAATTTCTGTCCAAATAAGGCAGACCCCAGTCAAAACAAAGCACAGAAAGTACAAAAACACCTTAGAACATGAGGGAAAAATCTGAAATGAAATAAATCATGGGAGCCCATATTGAGGATACAAACACCTGCACATACCATAAATCCCGAACAATTAAACAGAAACGGTGTCCGCATATGAACGACTATGGGAACAATGCACATGATTACCGAATGTGCGCGCAAACTTTTGCTAACTCGACGAATACCAAGAAATAGAATACAACTTTAGTACCATTGGAAAGGTGGGAATAAATGAAAATTTATGATGCCGAGAACGTGAAAAACCATTCAGAAATGAATGAGATACAAGGACATGAAGTTTGAAACCTGAAAACATGCAGGATGTCATATCCATACAATCCCGACCTCTGCTCTGGGCTCCCGGAACTCCGAAACTGATTCCGGAGCCCTACTTCCCTTCCGTCACCTTCTCCTTCCCAACTCCCAAGAGGTTATCCCACCTCCGGCTCCAACACCACCTTCGGTCCGACTCCAGAACATTCCGGGTCTGTGTCAGAGTTCTGGATTATTGTCGGAGTTGGAATACTGTCAGAGATCTGGAATGCTGTCAGAGACTGGGAATATTGTTAGAGTCTGGCAGACTGTCAGAAGACGGATAGAAGACGGATTGGGTTTCTGTCTGAGTCAAGGTCGGAGGTGGTGCAGAGTTCTGTTGGAGCGCATGCGTGGATATGCGGGCGGAAATATGCAGCGCATCCGGAAGCGCTGTTCAAGGTTAGCAGAGTGGGATCGTGGCCTCAGCGACTCAGGTGGAGTGCTGTGCCCTGAGCTTGACGTTTGGGGGAGATCCCGTATTTACGGATTGACACTCACAGCAGACTTCAAACAAGACTTGCAGGCAGAGCGGACCTGTAGGAGGAGCGCGGACTCCGCAAGCACGGACTCAGAGGGGGAAGCCCCCTTTGCAGAAGGAGAGACTCAGACCAGACAGGGGGGGTACTCTAGTTGATTCCAGACTGAGGTCCCCAAAAGTATTTACAAGGTATATAAATAGGCAAGAGGGAATATAGAAAGGCCGGTCAGTCCGGCGTGGAGATAAGCAGGGGTTGTCAAACTAAATAAGGACAAGAGCCCGGGAACTGGAAACGAGGAACAGATCAATAAACAATAAGTGGCAAGGGTTATTGATGAATAACTGAATGAGATCAATAACCTAGTGCCAATAAAGAGGGGATCAAATGCCGATATTGGCAGGGAAGCAAACAATAAATGGCACTCGGCAAGGAATGAATGATAAGCTGCCAAGTGACAAATGGCCAGAGGAAAAGTGGAGGTCAGCGCATGGCGCCGATACAAGTCCGCAAATAAGCGGGGTCGGTGCGGTGCCGACACAAGTCCGCGAACAGAGGTTGATCTGCCAGCACTGTCACACAAGGACAGCATGAAGGCCAACAGAGGTACAGAGGGGAGTGGGAGTGTTGACCTGACCAGAGGTGTCAAGGGCAACCAGAAGTGGCCAGAAGGTGCAGAGATGGGCAGAGGGTGCGGAGTGGGCAGAGGGTGCAGAATGCACGGAAGCGGGGCATGGCTGTGACCACATAGCGGGAAGCGATGAGTGTGGTTCAGATGGAGACAAGGCAGGCATGACTGAATGCTGGGAGCGCCAAGGGCTCAGGAACTGGAGGTAAGGTCGGAATACCGGCAGGGTCTAGGTTCTGATTATTGGCCAAGTCTCACGCAGTAAGGCAGGGGGCCAGACATGGGGTTGGGGGCTGGTTAGGATGGGTTTCGGGTCAGCAGATTCGCCTATCAGCATTGGTTCGCTGCTGACGGAGCCCCGGGATTTGTCGGTCGTGACAGTCTGACCTCAACCTCGACACCTCCCAGACGAGCATGCAACACCTATGCCCCTGACTCCGGACCTCCGCTCTGGAATCCCGTTTCGCATCTCTGTCTCCGGAACCTCCGGTCTTAGCTCCGACCTCGGACTTTGACCCCACCTCCGCTTATACCCATTGTATTGGTTAGCTCATTCCATTTAATTACGTTTGCCAATATTCCGGAGTTTAACTTCCAAGTTCGGACTTTCCAGACTTATGTCAGACCTTGCAACTATTGCATTGCTCCATTCAATTCCGCTATTCTCCCTCATTCCTATTTGGGCTGCTGCTTCCTTTCTATTCAGTCAGCCAGCCATTCCCCACTCCCAACCTCCTTCCTTCCTCCTTGGGCCTTGGCCCTTCACTCCTCCTTTGGGAAACACCATTGAGTCAAACCCTTGACCCTTGGTGTTGTTCCTCTTTCCATCTCCCTTTGTCTCTTTTCATCCCACCCTTGTTCCTTTTGATTCCGGACCCCTCCTTATATACAATGTACATAGTAACTTGTAACCTCAGTCCAAAATCGACCTGAATTCCCCCCAAGAGACTTTCCCTCTGCTAGATCCGAAATTAGGGACCCCCAGGGCAACCAGCAATGGCACAGCACTCTGCCTGAGTCGCTGAGGCCAAGGTCCTTCCACGCTAAGTCTCTGATTCCATTCCGGAGTCGTCCGAATCTGCACGTTCTAACACAGGAAGACAGCTTCTAGAGGTCCAGAGCCCCAAATAAAATACATAAAAATATGATATCTTTGAGGACGACCTATTATAACAACAAACAATACATACAAGGAACTAGAATGCAATAATACAAGGGGGAATCAGGGGAGAAGGATGAAATCCACGAAATCCACTAAACTACGATGGACCATGGTGGGAATTTTAGGGAACAATATTCTAATGAAGCGGAGAGTTACAACACATTCATCTGAACAATTCTTTACTACTAGCAACTTTTCTTTTGGTTCTAAACCTGAATAATTCACTCATTTATCATTTCAAGTCTCATTTCAACTAAATGTTACTGGATAAAAATAGAATAAATCAGCTGAAGGTCTCAGCACAGCCATACGCATAGTAATGCAAAGTTTGAATTCAGAATGACCGAGTCATAGTGAACTTAATGGTAAATATGAGGAATTTGTCAGAGACCAGGGTCGAGACGAAGGAATGTCTCCGTAATGGAGGGCTTCAGCCTCAGCGACTTCTGCCAAGAGCGCTGTGCCTAGTGACACGTCCGTGCCCTAACTTACTGACTGGCAATTAGAACCTAGGGGGGTGGTGACCATCGAGGGGTACCGAGAGGATTGCGGAATAACGGGGGCTCCGAGGTTAGTGAGGGAGGAGCGGAGTTGGAACGGAGGGATCGGAGGGACCGGAAGTCGATGGCCGGGAATGGATATGACAGTATCCCCTTCTTAGGCCTGAACCCTTGAAGGCCCAGAATTAGTAAGACGAGGGGAGCTGCACTTACAGGAAGAAAAACAAATGAGGAAATGGAAATGAAAACGGAAGTGAGGAGCGGAGGGGAAAGGAGAAATGGGAGAGGAGTCGGGGTTCCTAAGGAGCTTCGGGTCCAGGCTTCGCTGGATACCGAGAGTGGAACGCTTCGACGAGGTCGGAGGCGTGATCGAGTTCGCCGGCAAGGAGCCATTGTGTCTCCTCGTTGGTCCCTTCATAGCCTAGCCACTTGACCAAGTAGAGCAACTTGTTGCGTCTACGTCGGTCGATCTTGGAGTCGAGTATCTCCTCGATCTCGAACTCCATCTCGCCTTCGATTTCTACGGGAGGCGGAGGTGGCTGGTGGCGGTTCGGAATGGTGTTCGGGACGGATGGTTCGATCTGCGAGACATGGAATACCAGGTGAATGGCTCGCATGTTTTCCAGCAGGCGGAGAGTGAGGGAGTGGGTTCCAACGCGGGCGATGATCTCGAATGGGCCGAGGTTTTTCTCGGAGAGCTTTTTGGAAGGTCGAGTGGAACGGAAGTACTTGGCCTTTACGTAGACCGAGGTTCCTACTTCGAAAGCTGGGGCAGGGCTCCGACGAGAGTCTGCCGGGCCCTGATAACAGATCTGAGCGAGATGCATTTCCTCGCGAAGGAAGTGGTGGAGGGAGTCGAGGTCGACGGAGTACTCTTGGGTGCGTACCGATGTCAGGTCTCGCTCCGGGTGGACGGTGATGTTTGGATGGTAGCCCTTGTTGGCGAAGAATGGGGAGATGCCCGTGGTG